GCAGAAAGAAAATGTCACACACACACACACACACACACACACACACACTATTCAGCCATTGAAATAAAGAATGAAACTCTGACACTTGCTGCAGAATGGATGGAATTGGAGGTCATTATACTAAGTGAAATACAGCAGACACAGGAAGATAATTACTGCATGATCTCTCTCACTGTGGAAGTTTCAAAAAGTCTATGTATGGGGTCGGCGCTGTGGCATAGTGGGTAAAGTTGCTGCCTGCAGTGCCAGCATCCCGTAAGGGCACCTGTTCGAATCCCTGCTACTCCACTTCTGATCCAGCTCTCTGCTATGGCCTGGGAAAGCAGTGGAAGATGGCCCAAGTCCTTGGGTCCCTGCACCCGTGTGGGAGACCTGGAAGAAGCTCCTGGCTCCTGGCTTCAGACTGGTGCAGCGCCAGCCATTGCAGCCATCTGGGGAGCGAACCAGCAGATGAAAGACTTCTCCCTCTCTGTGCCTTTACCTCTCTGTAACTCTGCCTTTCAAAATAAATAAATATTTTTAAAGTCTATGTAAATTTAGAATAGTGCTTACTAGGCAAGGGTGGTGGTAGGTGGAGGTGTAGAGGCAGATAGGCTAAAGGATATGAAAAGACAGAATGGGTTCTAGTGTTCACAGCACAGCCAGTTCACAGTTATGTATGATGTACTGTGTAAAGAAGCAGAAGAGAAAAATAAATTAATTCTGCCGGCGCCGTGGCTCACTAGGCTAATCCTCCGCCTTGCGGCGCTGGCACACCGGATTCTGTCCCGGTTGCCCCTCTTCCAGGCCAGCTCTCTGCTGTGGCCAGGGAGTGCAGTGGAGGATGGCCCAAGTCCTTGGGCCCTGCACCCAAATGGGAGACCAGGATAAGTACCTGGCTCCTGCCATCGGATCAGTGCAGTACGCCGGCCACGGCGGCCATTGGAGGGTGAACCAACGGCAAAGGAAGACCTTTCTCTCTGTCTCTCTCTCACTGTCCACTCTGCCTGTCAAAAAAATAAAATAAAATAAATTAATTAAATAAAATTTTAAAAGAACCAGAAGAGAGGAGCTGGTAGGCTCTAAATGTAAGGACAATAGAAGGAAATGGATATCCTAAATGCCTGGTTTGATTAATTTATATTATATCCATGTGTTAAAATATTGCGTACTACTCCATAGAGATGTACAGTATTGGGAGCCAGCATTGTGGCATAGAGCTACTGCCTGCAACACAGGCATCCCATATGAGTGCCAGTTCGAGTCCTGGCTGTTCCATTTCCAATCCAGCTCCCTGCTAATTGCCTAGGAAAGCAGCAGCAGATGGTCCAAGTGCCCCTACACCCATGTGGGAGACCAGGAAGAAACTCCTGGCTCCTGGCTTCAGTCTGGCCCAGCCCTGGCCATTGTGGCCATTTGGGGAATAAACCAGTGAATGAAAGGTCTCTCTGTGTCTCTCCCTCTCTCTCTGTAACTCTGCCTTTCAAATAAATAAATCATTTTTTTAAAAAAAGGAACAAGTATTGCATATTAAGCAAAACTTTTTTTAAAAAATAAGAAAAATGTTAAGTTTTATGGTTTAAAATCACAATTCTCTCATTGATACAGAAAAAAATTTAGAATTTAAAGTTTATAATTCTTAAAATTACAAAATATAGGCTAGGGAGTTAGCCTAGCAATTAAGACACCTGTGTCTCACATCAGAGTGCCTAGGTTTGATACTCTGCTCCAGTTCCTAACTTCAGCTTTCTGTCAATACAGACTCTGGTAGGGAGCAGTGGTGGCTCAAGTAATAGAATTCCACCCACATGGGAGACCTGGATTGAGTTCCTGGCTCCTGGCCTTAAGCCGACATAAGGGAATGAACAAACAGATGGAAACTAACTCTCTATCTCTTTCTCTCAAGTAGATAATTTTTTAAAGACTGTTTCTTTAAAAAAATAAAATTACAAAGTATGAATACTAGAATTTTTCTTACCTTGGTAAAGTTTGTATACAACAAACCTACAGCAAAGTTAAACTTAACAGAAGCATATCCTTTGTTTTTTTTTTTTTTTTTCTTTTGACAGTCATAGGACAGGCAGAGTGGACAGTGAGAGAGAGAGACAGAGAGAGAAAGGTCTTCCTTTGCCGCTGGTTCACCCTCCAATGGCCGCCGCTGCAGCCGGCGCACCGCGCTGATCCTGGCAGGAGCCAGGAGCCAGGTGCTTTTCCTGGTCTCCCATGGGGTGCAGGGCCCAAGCACCTGGGCCATCCTCCACTGCACTCCCTGGCCATAGCAGAGAGCTGGCCTGGAAGAGGGGCAACCGGGACAGAATCCGGCGCCCCAACCGGGACTAGAACCCGGTGTGCCGGCGCCGCAAGGTGGAGGATTAGCCTATTGAGCCACGGCGCCGGCCAGAAGCATATCCTTTAAGATCAGGGAAATGCCTTTGTAAAATTGCTTTGCTTAACACAACACTGCAGGTTCTTGAATTCTGAGAAGGGGGGAAATATATAAAGATTGTAACAGAAGAGATAAAATTGCCAATATTTACAAATGACATGGGCATTTAGAAAAGCAAACAACATCAACAATCAAGCTATTATAGAGATTAGCAATATTAGCAACCCAATTCCATCCAGTAGAACTAATACCATTTATCTGTAATAGCCAACTAGAAAATATATTTTGTCTGTTACTGAATAGACAGCATCCAGCATGCGTAAGTACTCAATAAATGCCTGTTGAATGGCTAAATGAGTGTGACTTATGGTGGACTGGGTGACTGAGGGTTCTTCCAGGATTGACTCCATCTTCCCAGTCTTAGGGAGAGCCCTGCAGTGTAGGGTGCAGTCTGGGTGTGCTACTGACTGCAGGTGCAGTCACACCATGTATGATGTGCTGCCCACAATCTCTGCCCACAGAACAAACTACCTCCTTTCGGGCTTTCTTTCTCAAGACTGTGACAGAGGTGCAGAGGGCTTATTCACTGGTTTATTTATTACTAGAACCAGGCCAAGAACTGTGGTGTGAGAGTTCTTTATTACCCTTGGCTCACTTCCTTAGGTAAATGTGTTCACTAAATCAGTACAATCTTCCGGGCAGGTTGTTTTAATCAGTAGGAATTCGTTGAATAATAACAGATGAAGTGAAAACATCCTTGTTATTTAAGCTCTGGCCTTTGATTCTATTTCTTTTGGTCCCAAGTTCAAGATTAGATGATCACAGGTGTATTCTGGCATGCAGCCTCTGTACTCCATTCCTTAGTGATCTATTTGTACTTCAAATTTCATAGTAAATCCTAAAAAAAGGAGAACCTAGCAGCACGGCAAATAGGGATTTCTTCACAGATAGTCTTTGGCAAATGACTTCAAAGCGTCAGTGAACTTGTAGGCTAACAGCATTTTGTGATTAGCAATTTGATCACAACCGGCATTGGGACTGACCTGTACAGCATTTCTGAATTTTTATAAACAATGTTGGCAACTCAGATGGAATACAACTAACATTCTCCAGTGTCAACATAGACTTGAGACTTCCATGAACCTAACTTTATCTCATTTGATGTGAACTTATCATGGGCCAAGCATACATAGTTAGTTCCAAAACAGAGGTCTTATCATGGGCCAAGCATACATAGTTAGTTTCAAAATAGAGGTCTTATCATGGGCCAAGCATACATAGTTAGTTCCAAAATAGAGGTCTCTGTGAATAGTCACATTTGCAAGTTTGCAAGTATACTCATAGTTCATTCACACACATCGCATGAAGTCTCAGAATCAAATCATTCTCTTTAAGGCAGAGAAAGAAATGCTTCCATGAACATGTACTTTAAAAGTAAAATTACAAAACCAGCATTGCTCTTGAACTTCCTTTGTTGGTCATGTTTTCGAAACTGTCCATCTCACTGAAGGTGGACCGCTGGGCCAGTGGGCACTGGGGTGAGTGAGGAGATTCATGCAATGCAACACCACCAGTTTCCTTGCCACCCCCATTTGCACTTTGGTCAGACTTGCGTGCTTATGAATGAACTCTCTGCCTGCCCCACATAAGCCTATGATATTTTAAGAATGAATATTGGTTTCTCCCTCCTCCCTCCCGAAATCCATCCACTTGAAGGAAGGAGGAAATCCGCCTGTGTTGGCTGCAGTCCTTTCACATCCACTGCCCTTCACTACAGAGTCTACTGGGTCACTTCCGTGGAGAAACTCACTTGACAGTCCTCCCTCTCCTCTGGCATTCTTCATGGGGCAAGCAGAAGAATCACAGAGCTCACACCATCCATTCCTACTGGGTTTATATCCTGGACCTGCTGGCTCACTGGGGACACAAAAGCCAGCTGCTGACTTGTTGACCACCGGAGAGCCACCAACAAAAATACCACTGGGCAGAGATTGAAGAGGACAAACCTGTTCGCCCCAGCTGGTTCCAGGGCACCCATCAGAGGTCATGTTGGTTCCTACATTGTCCAGCAGAGGGTGCTACCCACTCCTGCATGCTTCTCACATGGTTGATGATTGAATTCCACGATTTAAAGTTCTCATAACTTCCCTCAGAATTCATGAACGAAATACCTTTTAAAGCCAAGTATCTGGGGGTGGGCATTTGGAATAGGAGTTAAGATGCTGCTTGGGAAACCCACATCCAGAATCAAAGCGCCTGGGTTTGAGTCCCAACTCTGCTCCTGAGTCACTGGCGACAAGCGATGGCTCAAGTGGCTGTGCCATGCATGAGATACCCAGTTTGAATTCCTAGCTCCTGGCCTGACCCTGGCTGTTGTGGGCCTTTGGAGAGTGAACTATCAGATAGGACATCTCTTCCCCCTCCTTCCCTCCCTCCTTCTCTTTCTCTCCCTTTCGAACAAATTAGTTAAGATTTAGAAAATAAAGCACCTAAAAATGGGAACAGAGCCTATATGATCAGTTGCGTAGACAACAGGGAGAAAGCTAAGAACAGCGCAACACTTGCTCTGTGTGCTTCCTTACGGGAAGACGGTGAAGGGGATTTTTGAACGGAACATACTATTTATTTATTTATTAAAAATATGGAATGCTTCATGAATTTGCATGTCATCCTCATGCAGGTGCCGTGCTAATCTTCTCTGTATCGTTCCAATTTTACTATAGGTGCTGCCAAAGCCAGCACTGAACATACTATTTAAATCCTAGTGGTCTGAATGGAGGAAAGACATTTGCAACAAAAGATCAGCATGCAGGCCGGCGCCGCGGCTCACTAGGCTAATCCTCCGCCTTGCGGCGCCGGCACACCAGGTTCTAGCCCCGGTCGGGGCGCTGGATTCTGTCCCAGTTGCCCCTCTTCCAGGCCAGCTCTCTGTTGTGGCCAGGGAGTGCAGTGGAGGATGGCCCAAGTGCTTGGGCCCTGCACCCCATGGGAGACCAGGAGAAACACCTGGCTCCTGCCATCGGATCAGCACGGTGCGCCATCTGTGGCAGCCATTGGAAGGTGAACCAATGGCAAAGGAAGACCTTTCTCTCTGTCTCTCTCTCTCTCACTGTCCACTCTGCCTGTCAAAAAAAAAAAAAAAAAATCAGCATGCAGGCTGACACCTATTTATTTTGTGTCTAAATAATCTTTGAAGTCATGTTGACAGTCACTTCAGAAACATTTTTATGATAAGATTTTACATGGGAAGTGTAAGGAGATGGGCGTCTATTAATTAGCACAGAACACATGCAGGTGGGCCCGGTTCCAGTCCCCGCTGTGAAGCACTGTGTGGCTCTGAAATAAATTGAAACACAAAACTTTTTTAAAAAAAAGATTTATTTATTTATTTGAAAGTCAGAGTTACACAGAAAGAAGGAAAGGCCGAGAGAGAGGTCTTCCATCTGCTGGTTCACTCCCCAATTGGGCGCAACGGCTGGAGCTGTGCCAGTCCGAAGCCAGGAGCTTCTTCCAGGTCTCCCATGCAGGTGCAGGGGCCCAAGGACTTGGGCCATCTTCTACTGCTTTCCCAGGCCACAGCAGAGAGCTGGATCAGAAGTGAAGCAGCTGGTACTCAACTGGTGCCTATATGGGATGCCGGCACTGCAGGCGGCGGCTTTACTGCTATGCCACGGTGCCAGCCCCAAAACACAAAACTTAAAGAGATGTGAGTACTGAAAATTTCTGATGCAGCTTTTAAAAGTTGAGAAATGATAGGATTTTTTCACAAAGTTAGTTATAGGAAGCTTAACAATTGTACTTTAAAACTCACAATACTGGGGCTGGCATTGTGGCATAGTGGGTAAAGGTGCCGCCTGCAATACGGGCATCCCATATGGATGCCTGTTTGAATCCCTGCTACTCCACTTCTGATCCAGCTCTCTGCTATGGCCTGGGAAAGCAGTGGAAGATGGCCCAAGTCCTTGGGCCCCTGCACCCGCGAGGGAGACCTGGAAGAAGCTCCTGGCTCCTGGCTCAGGATCGGCGCAGCTCCAGCCGTTGCGGCCAATTGGGAGTGGACCAGCCAATGAAGATCTCTGTCTCTCCCTTTCTTTGTAACTCTGCTTTTCAAATAAAGAAACATATCTTAAAAAACAAACTCACAGTATTAAAAGACAAATAACAAGTTGGTAATGGATAAAGCCAAGTACAACAAAGCACTAGTATGTTTATATAAAGAATTATAGAAATTATTTTAGAAGTTAAAATACTATGTAAAATCATTTTAAACAGCAATGGCTCTGAATAGACAGTCTCAGAAAAGCAAATCAAAGGAGTTAATAGAAACGGAGAGACTTGATTTCACAAGTTACCATGGGAATGCAAATGACCATAAGTTACAATTATCTCACAAAATTAGCAAAGATTCTAAAATGTCCAGTGTTAGCAAGGGCAGTGAAAATGGACGGTTCACCCTTTTCTCAGGGCTGTGTAGATGAATAATTGGGATAACTTTTTGCAAGGCCACTTGGTGATTGTAATACCGGGAACAGAGAAGCCCAGGCTAGTCGCAGAGAGCATGCATATCCTTTGATCTAGCCCTTTAGATCTCAGTGAGGTCCTCAACATACAGAAAATGCTCTATGCTCAAAGGTGTTCATGTGTTGCCCAGGCCACTCCAGTCCAGGGTCTCCGCGTTTTCCTCACTGCCCCCATCTGTTCCGCAGGTCTCCAACTGCCTGCAAAGGTTTTGTGAAGAGCAGTGTATCCTGTCACCACGTCGTCTTGGCTGCACGACAGCATCTGCTCTGCCTCATTTCAGTATGTTTCCTGTGGCTGTGTTTTTCAAGAGACTCAGCAGTGCCAATAGGCCCATTGCAGGTGTCACAATCGCCACTACTATTACAGGTCCTACTGCTACTGCAAACGTGGCAGCACTCAGTATTAAGGGCGGCGGTGTGGCCATTAGCTTTAGTCTTGGTTGGGTTGCAGGGACAGTCTACATGGCAGTGTGATTTATGAATACAGTTTAAACTTACGCAAGTTTCGTCTCTTGTGAACAATAAATATGCTTCTAAATGTTTGCTAAGCAAAGTAAGTGATGTCCCAAGAGCAGAAGTTATAGCCCCAAACTATATAGAATTAATATTAGGGAATTATACTTGTTTTTAAAGGAAGACTTTGATTTTATTCACTACAAATTATCAATGCTGTCACAGGAAATGGAGTTTGTTACTGTCATCGAGATAGTCTTCCTTTCATTGAGGTAGTCTTTGACCATGGCCTCTGTGGTCTGGTAATAATTAAGTTCACTGGTATAATAAACTGTACAAGGTCTTTGGCCCGACAGGAAAAATATCTCCAACTGCGAGTCCAGGCTCTCCTATTAAAAGGCTGTGCAAATAAAATAAAATTGCGTTTGTGGCTAAATCACTTTGAGCACAATGCCAAAGTCTTCATTTTCTACGGAATAGAAAGAGAGAAGCAAAATAGTGTTTCTTAAAATGTATGAAAGAGCATCTAAGCACTTACCCTGTTGTGTATACAAGAAGCGAGATGCATTTCATGCCTTTGAGGCGTGTGGGGCTGGAAAAGAGAATATATTCATGATTCTAACTCTGCCATTTGTTTTTCTCTTTGTGCAGATGTATTACTATTTTTTCTCTTTCTGCTCTCTAAATGAGGAAACCACCTGGTTCAAACCAAACCCACAAAAGCTTGTTTCTCTCTGAAATTCTACCAAAAAAAAAATATCTAAAAGTGAAAAACATCAGCAAAGGGTGAGACAATTATAATGCAATGTGCAGTTTTGCTATTGTCTGAACGTTCTGAGACCAACAACGCAGATGGAAGCAGAATTTTCCGAATTTCACACAATTGCTGGCTGAGCAGGGAGGATCGGAAGCTCGGTTCTCACTTCCTCAGTAGTTTGTACTTGGCCAACACCTTGTTCTGAAGTTGGCATCATATTTTTTTGTTTTTTGTTTTTGTGGGTTTTTTTTATTTAATAAATGAGAATTTACAAAGTGCAACTTTTGTATTGTTGTGGCTCCCCCCCCACCTCCCTCCCTCCCGTGGCCCTCCCCTCTCTCACTCCCTCTCCCATCCCGCCCTTCATCGAGTTTCATTTTCAATTACCTTCACATACTAAAGATCAACTTAGTATATACTAAGCAGGGATTTCAACAGGCTGCACTCACACAACCACACAAGGCATAGGGCATTGTTCGACTAGTAGTGTTGTTTTTAAGTTTCATAGTAAAACACATTAAGGACAGAGATCCTACGTGGGGAGCCTGTACCCAGTGACTCCCATTGTTGATTTAACAATTGGTACTCTTAATTATGACGTCAGCAATCACCCGAGGCTCTTGCCATGAGCTGTCTAGGCTATGGAAGCCCCTTGAGTTCACAACTCTGAACTTGTTTAGTCAAGGTCGTATCACAGTGGAGGTTCCTTCCTCCCTTCAGAGAAAGGCGCCTCCCTCCTTGATGGCCTGTTCCTTCTGCTGGGGTCTTGTTCACCAGGATCTTTCATTTAGGTTGTTTTTGTCACCGTGTCATGGCTTCCCATAGTTGGCAACATTTAATAAGTGCCAGCGCTTCTGGCTTCTGTTCCATATGGTCCCACTGGTAAACGCTACATCATCTTGTTCTCATTCTCTTTGACTTTTATTTTTTCAAAGCTTTATTTATTTGAAAGGCAGAGTTATAGAGAGAGAGAGAGAGAGACTTGGATCTTCCATCCTCTGGTTCACTCCCCAGATGGCCACAATGGCCGGAGCTGGGCCAGTTTGAAGCCAGGAGCCAGGAGCTTCTTTGGGGTCTCCCATGGGGGTGCAGGGTCCCAAGGACTTGGGGCATCTTCAGTAGTGGAGCAGCCAGCACTCAAACCGGTGCCCATGTGGCAGCTTTACGCACTACACCACAGCGCCGGTCCCCCTCCTTGAATTTCTACTCTAGAACATTGACTGGCACATTTAATCTGTACTTCCTCCTCTCCTGGGACAGCACTGCAAAAGTCCCAGTTTTATTTTATTTTTAAAAATACTTAATTCATTTGAGGGGTAGAGAAACAAAGAGACAGAGAAACAGAGAGAGGGTAGGAGATAGGGACGAGGGATGGAATCTCCCATCTGCTGGTTCAGTTCCCAGAAGCCTGTAACAGCTGGGGTGGCTGGGTGACACCAAACTGGAAGCCAGGAAATCAGTCCACATAGCCTATGTGGGTGGCAGAAACCCAAGTACTTGATCCATCACCTTCTGCCTCTCAGGGTGTACATTAGCAGGAAGTTTTGAATCAGGGGCAGAACCAGGACTTGAACCCATGTACTCCATGTGGGATGTGGGTGTCCCAAGGAGCATCTTAACAGCTATGCCAAATGTCTGTCCCTAAAATTTATTTTAGTACCTGGTTGTCTGCAGCCCAGACTCCATGCTTTTCCAACTTGTCTAGGTCCTTAGTTTCTTTTTTTCAGGAACAACTCCTTGTTCTTTTAAAATTCTGGATGGGAGAATATAGAGGCTGTGAAATATCTTCTCCACGTTCCCTTGCTTTAACGTTTTCTGCACATAGCTACCCTGGAAGAAGGGTCTGGTAAATGCAAAGTAGCTACTGTTAGCCTGAACTATCCACCCTCAAACCTTCCATTGGCCCAATAGCTCTATTTCCAAAACCATGTCTGTCTCTACCATATGCCCCTACTTCGAGGGGGAATACCTAGCCCCAAACCATATTCTGCTCAAATTACTTGCACTCCTTGGCACCATTCTGCCGATAACTTAGATGTCTTGATAGACATTCCTGGCTACGTTGTGCCAGACTCGCAATCCAGCCTCAGCACCCATATCATGAGCGGGCACATCAAAGTCGCTTTGCATGTCATCTACCTGGATCCCACCTGCGCCCCTGACATGTGTGATCCATTAGAGAGAGTTAATCCTCAGCTCCACCTGCAGAGACAAATGCCAAAGAACAAATTACGCCCTCATTGGCAGCGGGCTATATTCTTTTTCCATTTCCCTGCCCTGAATATATTTCTTGGCTACGGAACAATTAGAAGAGCTGCCCTAACGTCAGTCTTAACCTCTGCACAGACATGATACAACACTAGCAATTCCAGTGGAAAATTCCCAGGGTGAAATTTCTAATAACTTCACCATTGCTAGAGATTTTGCTGGTGTACTGAAGAGAGCAGGCCTGAGGCTGCCAGTCACAGACAAGCCAGATAGCAAGGCTGACTGACGTTTGGCCAGCATCTGGGACTTGGATTTGGAAGCAGTTATCACCGTTTCCTAACTGACAGGGGTGGCTCGCTGTGCCTGGTCTTCATAATGGGCTTTCTGCTTTCTCTCTAGGAGTCTGAGTTTTGGCACATACTAGCCAGAGGGGTGCCTATACAACTAGCCTCCCGCCCCCCGCCAAAACTTTGGGTGCTGAGACCTCAGTGGGCTTTTCTGGGCAGAAACTACCAATGCTTGTTGCTGGGGGAACACACCGTGTGATCTCCCTGTGGGAAGGAACATAAGGATGTCTGTCCATGGAGGCCTCCAGACCACGCCTGAGTCATTTCTCTCCTTACTGCCCTGCTGTGAGCGCAACTACTCACCAAGCGCTGTGAGTCCCTCTGGTGACTGTGGATATGGGGATGGGGCAGCCACTGGCCTGGTGGCTAAAACACTGGTTAGGACACCCACCTCCCACATCAGAGTTCCTGGGTCCAATCCTGGCTCTGCAGATCCTGGGAGGAAGAAGACAAAGGCTCCAGTCATTAGTTTCTGCCACCAATCTTGGAGATGTAGATTGAGTTCCTTGCTCCCAGTATCAGCCCTGGCCCAGTCCCAGTCATTGTGGGCATTTAGGGAGTGAACTAGCAGGTGAGATTGTGCTCTCTCCCTCTCTCTACCCTTTATCTCTCTCTCTCTCTTTCTTTGCCTTTCAATTGAAAAAGAAAAAAAGCAATAATGATAATTAGAAAACCATGGAATTAATCCTGAGCTTCCTCAACACAAGAAATAGTAAGATTAATTAATCCCAGGGCCATCTCTGTGGCATGGCAGGCTAAGCCTCTGCCTATGGTGCCAGCATCTCATTTGGGTGCTGATTCATGTCCCAGCTGCTCCTCTTCTGATCCAGCTCTCTGCTGTAGCTTGAGAAAGTAGTAGAAGATGGTACAAGTGCTTGAGCCCCTGCACCCGTGTGGGAGACCCAGAAGAAGCTCCTGGCTCCTGGCTTCGGATTGACCCAACCAATGTGGCAATTTGGGGAGTGAACCAGCAAATGGAAGACCTCTCTCTCTGTCTGTCCATCTCTCTGTGACTCTACCTCTCAAATAAATTAATACAATCTTTTAAAAATTGATTAATCCCAATGCTTCCAATATAGTCAAAGCCTCTGTGCCATCTTTACTACATATCAAAGCTGCTTGGTAGCAAAGTTACTCAGTATGTCAGAGAGTTTAATGGAGCACTTGCTTAAGGTTTTTCTGTCTTTCCTTTTTTCTTTTTCTTTTTTTTTAGTTTCCCTGTGCTGAAACTTGGGTTTGACCCAAAGAGTCTGGACTGAAGACAAGTACAAGCAACACCACCAAGCTCTTGCTGTTTCTCTTTGATTATGAATGACTGATTGTACTTTATGAGCCTTGACCCTCTTCCATATAAAGCATCCTTTACCTACATTTTTCTCTGATTCTCACATGGTTTTTTTTTCTTTTTTTATTTTTTGACAGGCAGAGTGGACAGTGAGAGAGACAGAGAGAAAGGTCCTCCTTTGCCATTGGTTCACCCTCCAATGGCCGCCGCGGCCAGTGAGCTGCGGCCAGCGCACCGAGCTGATCCGACAGCAGGAGCCAGGTACTTATCCTGGTCTCCCATGGGGTGCAGGGCCCAAGCACCTGGGCCATCCTCCACTGCACTCCCTGGCCACAGCAGAGAGCTGGCCTGGAAGAGGGGCAACTGGGACAGAATCCGGCACCCCGACGGGGACTAGAACCCGGTGTGCCGGCGCCGCAAGGCGGAGGATTAGCCTAGTGAGCCGCGGCGCCGGCCCTCACGTGGGTTTTTAAAGTCATTTTAATGACATAATTAGAACACCAGGAGAGTTGCTAACAAGCTCCTCCCAACACCCCCTTTAATTTGCTAGAGAGAAATCAAAGTAAGTAATCCCTACCAGCAAGGTGCCTACTTATCTTTGCTTCTCTCACATAACTCACAAAACCAGGGTGACACGAATCCCAATAAAGAATGGCTGTTATTTCACCATTCAGCTTGACTAATAGCTGGTTTCTAAACAATGTCCCCAATCTGACAGAAACCCTAATATAATCCAGAGCCAGCAGTGGGAGGCTCTCCTGCTCTGCAAAGATCTGAATCCAGCCTGGCTCAAGTCCTGATTCTGTGTTCCATGAGGGTCCAAAGTCCTCCCACAGTGAGCTCCCAGCCTTCCCTCCTCTGGTCTACTGACTTTTATCTGTGGGCTCTACGAGAGCACTTCAGAAAGTTCATGGAAAAGTGTAGTTAAAAAATAAGTTTAAGGCTGGTGCCTTGGTGTAGTGGTTAAAGCCAGGAGTTTCTTCCTACTCACCCATAGAGGTGCAGGGGCCTGAGAACTTGGGCCATCTTCCATTGCTTTATCCAGGCCATTAACAGGGAGCTGCATAGTAAATGGAACAGTTGCCCATTTAGAATGCTGGTAGCTAGTTTATGTTTTAAAAGTTCCTTCTTTAGATGTGAAAAGTTGGAAGAGTCTAAGAGTGAATGCAAGGGAACCAGTATTAGGTTATGTGGGTGATAATGGTGACTTTTGAGCAGAAAGGAGGCAGGGTAATAAAGACAAAAGCATAGTTACGGAATATTTTGGATGGATTGGGGGTAATGAAGGGAAAGAATCCTAGATGATTTCTAGGTCTCTGGATATGGGGATGGAGATCCCAGTTAACAAGACTAGGGAAGACTAGAGAGAAATAGTTTTGAATAGTGTATACATAGAAGATAGATAGACAGACAGATACAGATAGATAGCTAATATTTTGTTCAGCTATATATAACAACACATCTGATATTCTCAGTGGCTTAAACAACAAGATGACCATTCTTCTTGTGTCACATTCCAGAGCCGATGTGGAGCTCCCAGGCTGCTGCCTGCTCCCCAGGGTCCTTCTAACTTTCCACTGTTCACCTTTCCTTAGCTTATGGACTTCGTGGTTACAAGGTGGTTGCTCTACCTCCATGTATGTTCGATGCAGAAAAAAAAGTGGTGGTGGAAGCTTTCCTAGAAGCCCCATCCAGTAATTTCCATTCATATGTCTGGGCAGAATGGTCATCTGATCACCTCTAATAATAAGAGAGCTTTCCTGATGTAATTTTCTAATTAACCGATTACTAAGCATGTTGCTATTCCAACCAGCATTGGGATTCTCACTGGCAAAGAAACGAGGGAGAAGGCAAGCAGACATATCTATCCCAGGTGGAAGGTAAGAGCCCAGTTTAAAGCACGCTAAGCAGGAGATTCGAGATTAAAGTGTCCAGAAGACCCCTGAGCCATTGAGTATATGGAGCTTGGAAGACAGCCCAGGTGGGGATAGAAACTGGAGAGCCTGCACTCCACAGTGGCTTTTGGTGTTTTCCTTGCAGTGGAAAACATTCTGGTTGATTCATAAGAGGTGGCTTACACGAGAGAAAAGAAATAACTCACATAGCCTAGAAGGTGAGGAGAAAGGCAACCTGAGCCCATTAACCTTCGACAGGAAAGAGTCATTTCCTCCATGATCATGTGCAGGAAAGAGAAGCTGAGTGCAGTGCAGAGAGGTCTGTGGTTTTGGTCATGAAAAGTTGAGGTCTCTGATCTAATGGCTTCTGCAGGGGTACTTCCGGAAGCACGTAAAAAAATTGGATTAAAAGATAAGTTGATTTTGGCCTAAAAAATTGAAATCCACAGAGTTTTTATATAACACACATTTTCCATGAACTTTTTGAAGACTCCTTGTAGTCCCTCAAAGGAGCATAAGGTAAGAGCTTTAGCAGAAGGAGGAAGTTTGAGAGCCGAAGTCAAAGCATGAGATGGTTATCAAACTGTATCAGAAGGCAAGCTTCTTGGAGAGTTTCTGGGGCTGCTGGCCAGCCCCGAGGGTGCCATGCATTGTTTGTGGTGAGTGAAGCCAGCCCATCCTGTTGGGGGATTTTTCTCCAACAACATTCAGCTGCTCATAGGAAGGTCTGGAGAAGCCAATGTTTGATGTTATTCAGGCTTAACGTTCTGTCAGGGGTGGTGATGGAGGAAGTGAAAAACAAAGAAGCTGAAGGCACTTTTCAGGGAGTAATTAAAGATGTTTAAATTGGACAAACATTCATTCCCACATTGATAATGGGGGAACCAGAGAAAAAGAGCACTTTTGTTATTTTTTAGTCATAACTTGTTCCGTTGAGCTGTATGCTTAGTTAGCTGAGCCAGCTCCTCATTTCTGGTTCCTTCCCTGGCAAGGAGAGTTGCACGAAGCCTGGCAAAGCCAGTGAGGGACAAACCCAGCACTGCATTTCAGCCCCGGCTAAACCAGCAGGCCCAGAAGAGCCCAGGCAGATCATCGCGCGACAGCTCTCCAGGAGGCGAGGAGTCGGAGGCTTTGAGCTGGTCACAATGGCAGGTGAAGAAATTAATGAAGACTATCCAGTAGAAATTCATGAGTATTTGTCTGCATTTGAGAACTCCATCAGCACTGTGGATGAGATGCTGAAGACCATGATGTCTGTTTCCAGAAATGAGTTGTTACAAAAGTTAGACCCACTTGAACAAGCAAAAGTGGATTTAGTGTCTGCGTACACATTAAATTCAATGTTTTGGGTTTATTTGGCAACTCAAGGAGTTAATCCTAAGGAACATCCCGTAAAACAGGAATTGGAAAGAATCAGAGTGTACATGAACAGAGTCAAGGAAATAGCAGACAAGAAAAAGGCTGGCAAACTGGACAGGGGTGCAGCTTCGAGATTTGTAAAAAATGCTCTCTGGGAACCGAAACCTAAGAATGCATCCAAAGTTGCCAGTAAAGGAAAAAACAAACATTAACTTTTTGGTTTTGGTATACACATATTCAAAATGTACATCATTTTTATTGTCATAACAAAATTTCTAATTATGTGGCAATGCAAGGCTTAAATGTATTCCTTGTTGAATTTATATGTAAATGTGTACTTCAGATTTGTAATGCAAAAATACTTTTCTGCCAGAAAGATTCTTTATTGATTTTTCCTATAGAGCACTCTGAGGTTTTAATGTTGTGATCTATTTTATATTTATAGTTTACCATCTCTTTTGATGACACTTATTTCCTTATGTAGGTCAGTCTTGCAAGTACCATTTTATAAACAACTAAAATTTAAGTTAAATGTTCTTTGTAAACATTTACACTATTTTAAATGAATAGTGACCTTATGAAGTATGTTATCGCTGGGCTGAATTTATAAGTACATCTATTTTTACAATGTGATATTAAGAAAGAATGAAATGACTTAATATCCTTTTTTTCTCCTGTGTAGTTAATTTATCATGTTTTCATGATTTTAGGAATTAATTGCTTTTTTTGATATTTGGAGTGTGAAATTAAAACTTTAAGGTTGTACTTTAATTTTTGGCACATTGCCTCAATGTCCCATTTAATATAAAATACATTCTCATTAACATTAGATGGGAAATAAGGTTGTATGTTGGTGACTGAATTTTGACAAAATGGTTATACTCTCTTAAAAAGTCTGTAAATGTTGTATAGCTGACCTGTTTTGTTTTTGTTGTATTTAAACTTACTTTTTAAATCAGAGTGTGTAGTGCTTATAGTTTTCTTGGTCTCACTTTTGATTTTTCAATTACATGTTTTGAGGCTGTATCAAGTATGTACAAGTGTTTTGGAACAACTCTGTATGTTACATAATGCTGCTTAAGCAGAAGAGAATGCCAAAGGAGATCACATTGTGCTAATATTCTGATTTGTTTCTGAAATATTTGTTACAAAGAATTGTACATGTTAAATTCTTTAATGCCTGTCTGTGATGTTTAATTATATACCAAATAGTTTCAGTCTTTGAATTCACATCATTATGTATAAGAATGCCAAATACAGTAAAGTACTATAATTTTGAAAAAGGAAAAAAAAAAAAGAGCCCAGGCAGAACCGTTCACCTCTGCTGTGTGAATCCAGTCAAGAGACTTTTCTTCTTTCTGGCCTTCCAGAAGGGTCAAAGAAAACAGACCACTCACTCACTACCTCACCTTTCCCTGGCCAGGAGCTTCTAGCCTGGCAGGTAGTATACTAGGTCAACAGGTGCTTGTTGTAATCTTCCCCTCCACACACACATACACAAACAGAAATTTGGGAGACCAACATGGGACTTGTGGGCAGAGGTGGGATGAGGTGGAAGAGTGTGGCACAGACAGTCCAACACCAAGGGGGTGATGACCTGGAAGAAGGTCATGAGACAGCAAGCAGAGGCCCAGGACACACTGCATGGCTGGGAAACACTTCCTGGGATGGTAGTAGGGCCCACAAGGCCACTTTGACCATACTTGCATATGCACACACAGTCAGATCACTATGAACAAAGCAGGCCTAGCAGTTCCCTGAGTTCTCTACTGTTATGATCTACATTTTTGTGTTCCCTTGAAATTCTTAGCCTGGTATCCTAACCCTAAGGTGATGGCATCAGCAGGCTGGACTTTTGTGGGGTAATTAGACAATGCTAGGTGGCCCAGTGTTGTGGCGCAGTGGGTAAAGCCACCGCCTGCAGGGCCAGCATCCTATATGGGCACCAGTTCAGGTCCCGATTACTCCACTTCCAATCCAGCTCTCTGCTATGGCCTGGGAAAGCAGTGGAAGCTGGCCCAAGTCCTTGGGCCCCTGCACCCACCTAGGAGACCCAGAAGAAGCTCCTGGCTCCTGGCTTCAGATCAGCACAGCTCTGGCCTTTGTGGCCAACTGAGGAGTGAACCCTCTCTGCCTCTACTTCTCCCTGTGTGTAACTCTTTCAAATAAATAAATACATCTTAAAAAAAAAATAATGCTAGACAATGCAGGTTGAGTCCTCGTGATGGCATGATTGTCCACATCAAGGAGGCCCAGAACACAGCCCTTACCCTTTCCACCACGTGAGGAGACACAGCACACTGTCTGTGAGGAGTAGGCACTCACTCAACACCAGAGCTGCCAGCACCTTGATCTTGGACTTGAACGGAGAGAAAGAAATGTTTGTTGCGTACAAGCCATCCCATCAGTGACATTTTGTTACAGCAGCCTACATAGAAAGCTTTAATTCAGCACTTCTCAATCTGTAAAATGGGTATCCGAGTCACCCCTGGATCTTGCTTTAAATGCAGATTCCCTTCAGTAGGTCAGAAGGTAGACCTGAGATTCTGCAATCCTAACGCTCTCCCAGCTGGTGCTGATGCTACTGGCCCAGGAAGCACACTTGACAAGCAAGGCTCCAAGTAGTTAAAAGCGATCCATTCCCACAACCACACCTCTGCATCCTGGGCTTTGCCTTCGTGCGGCCATGAGTCCAGCTTCTCCTGAGTAACATTCTTGAGTTATTTATTCCAAGACCTGTGATAGAATGAGGCCTCCCTGAGCACAGCCCAGCCAAGAAGGGTAAAAAACAGAATAAATGGGGTCCAAAGGGCCTTCGACTACCACCTTCCATGGCTTTGAAACAAGCTAAGAAACTGCTCCTAGCTTTAGGCAGGAACATGCATGGATCAAAGTGGGAAGAGCAGGTAGCGTCTACAACCTGGATTCTTTTTTAAAAATTGAATTGATTTGTGAAGCAGAGAAACAGAGAGAGGGAGAAAGAGATCTCCCATCTCCAATTCATCTCCAGGCAGGGCTGCACCAGCCTGAATCTAGGAATCAGGAACTCCGTACTGGTCTCCCACATAAGAGGCAGGGGCCCACATCCTTGGCCATCAAATGCTATCTTCCCTGGAAACTGAAAAGGGATGCAGAGTAGCTAGGACTGGAACGGGCACTCCATTGTGGGATGCCAGTATGCCATGTAGGAGCCACAGTGCCACCCCTACCACTTGGATTGTCTCTCTGGAGTCAGTGTCAGTTACTGTACTTCTTCTGATACTGTTTGTCCCTCTGCAGAGTCTCCTGGATGCCCTTCTTGGTAACTTACATTTTTCTTAGGAACCGGACAGCCATCAGGATGTCACCTACATAAGTGACAATGGTCAAGAACTGTGAAGAGACTGAGATGTTTACCATCCTTTGCAAGTTGACAAGTTAACTTGACAGTTTTGTGGATGTTAGCAGGAGACACAAGGCTCCTGGCCCAGAGACGAAGGACGTGGTTGTTGACCACGCAGCAAACAGCCTGATGTTGATGTTGATGTTGGTTTCCCCTTGCACCCCCCAAGCCTACAGAGGCAACACTGAAGGACCCAAGTGAGTGCTGTGCATGCAGTGGGTTTGCCTTACAGCCGAGGGACCATGAACTTAGGCCTAGAAATCAATATTTTATCCTAGGCTACAGACAGATCTGACTGACCTTTGTCCTAAAGGGAGACATTACTACACTAGACAGTAAACAAACTTGCCCTGTGCACTAGAAGGAGATCTTGTGTCTTCCAAGGCCGTTTGCATTTTCTGGAAAAGATAGTCCCGGGCAAAGGTAGTCTGTGCCTCTGCCCATGTGCAGAGAGCTGGAGACTTGTCTCCCAACAGCAATAGCAGGAGCTACACTTGCACAGTACTCACTGCAAGTTAAGAACAATTCTAGCGGCTGACACTGTGGCACAGCAGGTTAAAGCCCTGGCCTGAAGCGTCGGCATCCCATATGGGTGCTGGTTCTAGTCCCGGCTGCTCCTCTGCCGATCCAGCTCTCTGCTGTGGCCTGGGATAGCAGTGGAAGGTGGCTCAAGTCCTTGGGCCCTGCACACATGTAGGAGATCCAGAGGAAGCTCCTGGCTCCTGGCTTTGGATCAGTGCAGCTCCAGCCGTTGCGGCCATCTGTGGAGTGAACCAGCGGATGGAAGACCTCTCTCTGTCTCTATCTCTCTCTGTAACTCTGTCTTTCAAATAAATAAAATAAATCTTTTTTTTAAAAAAAAAAAAAGAACAATTCTAAATGCTTTAGTGCTCTACATATGTTATCTCACTAAACCCCCAAAACACAATTCTATTTGTCTTTTCACAAATGACAAAGTTGAATGTCATAATGGCATGGAATTGCAAAGTGTCTGTAAGATTCACGGCAGCAGAGATTTGGACCCACCAGTCAGGAAGGGGCAACTGATTTTTTTTTTTAACCAAACTCTACAGTGATTTTGATAGACACTAAAGTTCAAAAAGCACTCATTTAAAAGGTAAGCCTCATTTTTTAAAAAAAATATTTATTTATTTTAGAGGCAGAGTTACAGAGACAAAGCGAGAGACAGAGAAAGAAAGAGATCTTCCAATTTGCTGGTTCACTTTCCAAATGACTGTAATGGCCAGGGCTGGGCCAGGCTGAAGCCAGGAGCCTGGAACTCCATCCGGGTCCCCCACAAGGTGCAGGGGCCCAAGCACTTGTGCCATCCCCCCTGCTTTCCCAGGCCATTAGCAGGGAGTTGAATCAGAAGTGGAGCAGCAGGGACTTGAACCAGCGCCTATATGGAATTCCTGTGCTGCAGGAGCTGGCTTAACCCACTGTGCCACAATGCCGGCTCCAAGCATCATCTTTTTAATTGTGTTAAATGCTTAGCAATTTTTTTTTGCTCCTCTCTATATTTACATCTATCTGATAAAGCCAAGATTGTGTTTCTTTTTATTTAAGCCACCAGAATTTGAGTTATCATTGGGTAATGAAGATTCAGAACCAAAAAGAAAGGAAGCATTGTCCATAATGATGATTTTTTAAAGTGAGTACAGGCTTTAAAAGGACTGGCTCATTAAATTTAAAAAATACAACATTTGTTTAAGTGAGAAAAATCACCAGATTGCCACCGTTTCCAAGGGTATACTTAGTATGTTCGGAGTGGAACATATTTTCTCACATGATTGCCATGGTCCTAAATGTTGCAAATCCACAAAAGGCAGCATGGAAAATGTAGGAGACGGAATCGATTTTGTTAGGGAGTAACTTTAAGGAAGCATTTTAAGTGTATTCAGTTTGGGTCCTAGAAGCATGCAGGGTAAACCTGGTGTTTTCTTTTTGTTTGCATTTCAGAGCTCCAAAAACCCCTTGACACAATCAAGACATGTGAGCTGCACACTTAGCCATAGTGGTCACAGGGCACAGTGCTTTTTTGCTTCCACAAACAGTGGTCCCCATTTATCCAAGGTTTTGCTTTCTGCAGTTTCAGTTCCTTGTGGTCTGAACATTTGATAGAAAATTCCAGAGGGGCCTGCGCTGTGGTGCAGCAGGTTAAAGCCCCAGCATGCAGCGCCGCCATCCCGTATAGGCACCGGTTTGAGTCCCAGCTGCTCCACTTCCAATCCAGCTCTCCAATCCAATATACTGTAATAAAAGTTATTTAAGACTCATGAATTGTTTGTTTCTGGGATTTTGTTTTTCTTAGAGATTTATTTTATTTATTTGAAAGTCAGAGTTACATAGAGAGGTAGAGCCAGAGAGAGAGAGAGGTCTTCCATCCAATGGTTCACTCCCCAGTTGGCCTCAATGGCCAGAGCAGCGCCGATCCAAAGCCAGGAACCTGGAGCTTCTTCCAGGTCTCCCACATGGGTGCAGGGGCCCAAGGACTTGGGCCATCTTCCACTGCTTTCCCAGGCCACAGCAGAGAGCTGGACTGGAAGTAGAACAGCCAGGACTCGAACCAGTGCCCATATGGGATGTTGGTACTGCAGATGGCAGCTTAATATGCTATGCCACAGTGTCAGCCCCCACCCCACGTCTAGTTTTTAAATTATACTTTATCACAGGTATGGATACTCATACATAGGAAAAAGTCTAGCTTATGCAGGGCTCTGTACTCTCTGAGGTTTCAAGATATGCGCTGGGGGACTTGGAACACATCTCTTGTGGGTAAGGGTGGGTACTGATGTTTTCTTGG